AATGCCCACCTTTGAGGACCTTCCTTTCTAATGGAGAAATCAGACAACAAACAAACAAGAATGTAAGAAGGAGTAATATAAACAAGAATAGAAAGGGAATCTATAACAATAGTAAGATGGGAGGATGCATGAATGAGGGATGGGGGACAGGGTGGGGACGGTGGGAGGCTTCCCAGATGCAGTGGCCAGCGAAGGCATCACTGAAGAGCCGACCTGCGTGGCAAGAAGCCAGCCTTGAGCAGACCTGGGAGAAGAGCATCCCAGGGAAGGGAAGGGCCAGTGCAAAGGCCCCGAGTCGGGAATGAGCTTAGAGTCACTGAGGGATGGAAAGAGAGCAAACGAGTACAGTGAGAAAGTCGTAGCACGGTGATGAAGGCAGAGGGAGCGGCGAGAGGGAGGCAGGAGGCCCATCAAGCAGGGCTTTTTTGGTCAGAGCAAGGAGCTTGGGTTTTGTTCGGTTTTGAGCAGAGGCGTGACAGCCTCTAATTTCCTTCTTTCAAAGACTCATTCTTCTCTACGGAGAGTAGGCTGAGGGCGAAGGACAAAAGCGGAAACCTAGAGACTATCAGGAGGCACCTGCAGGGGACCAGGTGAGGGACGATGCCGCTCTGCCTGAGCAGAGGCTGTGGAAATGGGAGAAGTGAACCAATCTGGGAAAGATTTTAGAGGCCTCGCCGAAGAATTAAATGTGAAGGGCAGAGAGGAAGAGAGGAATCGGGGCGAATCCCAAGTTTTTGGCATGAACAGCTGAATGGATGATGGCAGCATTTACTGAGAGGGGAAGAGTGGCTTTGGGGTTGCAGTTGCAGGTTAAGTATTTGTTGGCACTGTCCCTTATAGGAGGCAAAGGAGCATGACAGACTCTCAAGGGAGAGCGCTATAATCCAAATTCCATATTCAACTCTATTAAAAATAATGTATTACATGCATACAGCAATACCTTAAAAAAAAAAAAAAACAGAGCACATTATTGTCACAATACAAGCTATGAAGAGTAAATCTGGACCAACTGTTTTTGGCTGGTAGCTCTGATTCTCTAGTCGGGAGTGAGGACACATGGCCCCTAAGGGAAGTGCCTTACCTTGGAACCTCTGGCCGGGGAGGTGGCCAGGAGAGTGGTGTCCAGGGGAAGAGGATGAGTGTTGAAATTTTTCCACTAGTTTTTGTGCGCGCATTGTATTTGTTTTTTAATTACGTAGTTGCCATTCTGACCTATGGCGTTTGTTTTTTTTTTTTGGCTGGAATTGAGGAGATGAAAAACAATTTGTGATAAAAACATTTCGAAATTTGATTATAGTGGACAATTTGGTGACAGACAGAGGAGAGAGGGGTTGGGAGGCTGAGAGAATGGGGTGAAGGGTTAAAGAAGTACAAATTCGCAGTTGATAGTTGGTCATGGGGATGGGGAGCACGGCAGAGGCAACGCAGTTAATATTAATGTCATGGCTAGGTGGAGGGCCAGGGGAGGGAGGGAGCAATTGGAGGGATCATTTTATGAACTATATAGATGTCTACCCAATGTATTGTATACTTGAAACTAATTTAAATAAATAAATTTAAAAAAAAATTCAGAAATTTGAAAAAAAATAAAATAAAGGTAGGGGGAAGGTAGACTCACAAGCACTGGCCCTACCAGAAGGCTATCTACAAATGCGCTGTGGGCTGGTGAAGAAGCTTCTTGAGAGAATGAAGTAATTCAAGATGGCTGACTCTAATCACCAGAGAGCATCTGAGGACATGGTCACAGCTACGTTGTCAGAGGAGCAACCTTTGGCCTCTTATGACATCCACTAGTTTTCAGTTTTGAAAGAGATCACGCAGACTCTTGAACCTATTTTTCAGAGTCTGAAGTGGTGAAGGGTCAGAAGCACAGACATGAGAGGAAAGTTTGAAGGCACGGGGGAGTGTCAGCCCAGAGAAGAGAAAATTCGGGCATGGGATCCCTGCCTGCAGTTTGGAAGGGTACCGCCGAGGGAGGGGGAGGCAGTAGTATGGGCTTGTACGATCAAGCACTCATATGTCCCAGATACAGTACCAAATGCTTCCATGCCTTATCCCATTTCAACATCCCAACAACACTTCGAGGTAAGGCTATTTCCTGGGTTTACCCACAAAGAGGAAAATGAGGTTTTAGAGAGATGAAGTAACTCGTTCAGAGGTTACACAGCTGGTAAGTGTGAAGTCAGGATTTGAACTCAGGCCCTGGCATTGTGAAGTCTGGGCTCCTGACCTCCCCTGCCTCTTTCCCAGACCTGCTCCCAGGTCCAACCCAACTTGCTCCCTCGGTCCAATCCTGTCCTCCGATAGGAGGGTTTCAGGCAGTCCCTAGGGTTCAATACAAAGTCCCCTGTGCTCAAAGCTGGACCCTAAGCTTGTGCCCAGCTCTCGATCCTACCTCCCGCCATGATCTGCATATCTTTAGGGAGCCTCATCCTGGAGTCCCCAGGACCTGGTACTTGAACCTCAACCCAAAGACTGGGACCCCACTGCCCACTCTGTGAGCTGGCCTATATCTCTATCCTGTCCTCAACTGCCCCCTTGGGGCTCTGTCTGCTGGACATCTGCCACCTCCCCCACATCCCTGGAGAGTGTGCCCGGGGGTTGCTGCCTCCCAGCCTCACAACTCTGTCACTTGACTTGACCCTCTTCTAGGACTGACAGCTGGATCTGTGTCCCCAACCTCAGTCTTGCCGCGTGGTAGAGACAAAGACCTCAATCCCGACTGCCACACAGCGCATCTGGTGAAATGCCTACAGAATGAGGTCCACCATGGCTGGCTACTGTCGAGCTTTGTATTTGGTTTTTTAGTTTGCAGCTCTTGAGAGCTTCCTATGTGCCAGGTTCTGGATTAATCATATAAAGTGGATGCTATCACGTAAACCTCCAACCGTCCTGGGAGTAGCGAATAGAAGCTACGGTGGTTGTTATTAACACACCAGTTCTTTTTTCAGGCCAGAGGCTCTGCTGACACGCCCAGAAGCCCTGAGACCCCAGAGTCAAGACACGCAGTCTTTTCCCTAGACGCCTCACCCCCACTTCCCATCCTCCTGACCTGGGGCTCACTGCCCTCCCATCCCCCCCGGGATCGTCAACCCACACTCAGGCAGAAGATGCAAGAATGGGTTTTTGAGACCCACACAATCTCCGCACAGAATACTTCACATCGAAAGGTTAAAACAAACAAACAAACAAAACCCTGGTTTCTGGCTTCTCTTGAAAAATCAGAATGTCTGGCCCCACTGAGCCCTGATTCTGATGTGGCAACGTAGATGGGAGCCAAGAAGTTGCTCCTTCAGACTGAGCATGTATGCTTGGGTCCAACACAGTCCCCACCACTCCCTAATGTCCTTCACCTGGCTCTTCCTCTCATTTGTACCACTTGCCCAGCGCCAATGGGCATTTATTTGACTCCACAGCGCCTCCCAGCCCTCCCTCAGCTGGCCAGTGGAGCTCTGCTGCCACCTGATGGCCATAGTTCACATGTTCCCTCACTGCCCGTTGGTGATGCTCCTGATGTGGTCCAGGACCACATGCACTTGTCATTTACTCCTCTCGGCCATCCTGTGAGGACAGGAATTGTACCCACTTTACAGATGAGAAAAAAAGGAAAGATAAGTTCAGAAATTACAGATAAAAAACAGATGAGAAAGGTTAAGTGAATGGATTGTTCGGGATCCTAGCTCCTGGTGATGTGCCAGGAGGGGAAACCAGCTCTTTCTCTCCTTAACACCAGTCCAAGGCATTTCAGTCTCTTCCTTGCCTTAACAGGCCCTAAAATGACTCTTCTACACTGGAAGTTGGGTCCTGGAAGAGGGAGCCAGGGACTCGAGATAAGCCAGAACTCTACAGTGAGTACTTCAGGGGCTGAGTGGGGAGGACAGGGGAGGCTGGGGACCCTCATCAAACTTTGTCATATGCAGAAATCATAAGAGCATTTGCTACTTGCCTATGGTCCAGTAGGCCTTGAACTTGGGTTTTCTAAGGCCAAATAAGTTCCAGGCGCTTTTCACAGCACCACACTACCTCCCCAGGCCTGCAAAGGCCTCTCTTTCCCCTTTTGCTTTCCTCAATCTTATTTGTCCTGCATGGCCCAGCACCTGCCCCACCTCCTCCAGGAAGGCTCCTTAACCACCTCAGCCCCCATCCCCTGCCCCCACCAAATCTCCCCCTTGTCTCCTGCCCTGGAGTGCCAAGTAACTGCCTGATGCTTGCATGTCTTGCCTCTCCAGCTGGCTGGGAGGTTCCTCAGAAGCTGGGCCTCTGTGTTCCCATCCCCTCTGGGATGTTTATCTGAGCAATATGTATAGAACTTGAGTTACAAGACGGATGCTTAGGGAGAGTCTGGGGTGAACGAGAGCTTGCATCCTAAAATAGAAACCCTGGATGTGTCACTCCTCCGCTTCAAACCTCTTGGTGCCCCACCCTCACTGCCCTTAGAATAAAACCCAAAGCTCCTTACCATGTTGACCTAAACCATCTCTCACTGCACCCACCACCTGTACCCATACCCTGTGTTTTAGCTCTACAGCATTTCAATTCCCATACTCGCTCTTACCTCTGGGCCTTTGCACACGCCCTGTCTCCCAACTTCTCGTAACCCTAGTTCCTCATCGGGCCTCAGCTTGGATGTCACTTCTTTCAGAAAGCCTTCATTAGCCACCACATCCAAGTAGGGGCTGGCCCCACGCCTGGGCTCCAGTGGTACCTGTTATTGCCCTATCCTAACACTTAATGCTGCATTTGACTGACTGTTGACTTGCCTCTCTCACCAGACTGTGGGCTTGGGGAGGAAAAGGCCCCCCCACCACCACATCTGTATGGTTTCTTGCTGTGACCTAAGGTCAACTCCTGGAGGCATCAAAGGTGTGTTGTAGATACTCCTTAAATAAACACGTGGATGAATGAGGTACCATTTTTATGTACAGCAAGTGTCCAGCAAACACATGTCACACTGGGGTAACTGACTATCCAATGGATAGAGCACACAAATTCCAGAGACATTTTCACCTTTGAAGTTCTTTATTCCCAGTAGTTCACATCAGTTATTCACCAAGCTAGATCTCATTGTATTAACCGAGAATTCACTCATCTTTCCTTTGATATTGTAATCTTGTCCTCATGTCCAAAACTGGGCTGGGGCCCAAAAGCTTAAAGAGGTCTCACTCCGCTGCAGGGAGCAAGAGGCACCCCTGTGAATCAGTCTTCAACTCCTAGAAGTCTTGTTGGGTTTATGGGCAAACACCTTAGCAAGTTCAATATGTGACAGCCCAACAGTGAAATAAACAAGACACAATACAACGGTTCTAGGCATTTTGGTGGGGAAAGGCACATTATACAGAGTCCCCTGGAGAAAATTCAGGCCATTCTTCATCTTCTCAGTATGCATTTTCTCACCCTTCAGTGACTTTTAATCTCATCCACGAGAAACTGCAACCCACGTGCTACTGAATACTTTATTTTCCCTTCATGAGATAGATTTGGTTCCAAGTGTATTTCAGTTTTCTCCCTTATGCCTACAAAACATCCAATTTTGTTCGGGTCCCTTTTAATGGCACTTATAAATATACATTCTGGGACCTGACAGAACAGGCTGTCCTATTTCAAACCACCTCTAGAGCTGCCTGTTCAAAACATCAGAGCTAGTACAAAACTCGGATGGGGCATGTCCTAGCTTATAGCTTGTGGTCATTTCTGACCCCAGGTCTCTCTCATCCACCACTGGGTATCTAGGGTAGAGATCTCCAACCCTGGCCACACAGTAAGCACCTGAGTTCCGGAGGCCTGGGCCACACCCCAAACCAATGACATCAGAATCTCCAGGTGGGGTCCTGGCGTCAGTCATAGTGGAAAGCTGCCCAGGTGACTGCAACTGGTAGCCACGTTAAGAAGCCCCGAGCTAAGGTTCTAGCACACAGCAGACTCTCAGTGAGTGTTGTGGAACCACAAATGGATTTCTCATTTTATTATCTGCTCTCCTATGCTTCCTGTTTGTATCAGAAATCTGAGCGGGAAAGAGAAAGGAAAATGAGTCAAGAGCATCTTTTAAAGTGATTTTGGGGCTGGGAAAGGGGTTATGGGGACTGAGTTTCTCCTGCATTATGTAGTCTTCACGCTTTCACAAGCCCAAAGGAGGTGAGTTACAGGCTGACACTGATCTGTATGTTTCTTAAATGCCCTCTAAAAACCGGAGCTTATAGTTACATTAACAAAAGACATTCTTGGAAATAAGTCTTAACTGACACCTGCTTTTACACATACTGTATCTTGGGTTGGTTCCAAAATTTGTATTAAGGACCATGTTAGATCAGCTTTATACTCTTCTGTGACTCTTGTAATTTATCTTAGCCCAACCTAGTGACAACCTAGAGATCATGATTCAACAGTGGCCGCACCCAAAATTGCCCCAGTGGGTTGGTCTTTCTTGAACAGGAACCATTTTCAGGGGCTTCCCTTTCCAGGTTCTACAAAGGGAGGATAATAGGTTTGATCTCACAAAGTTTGAGAGTTTGGCTACCCAGAATGCAGTACTGAGAAGGCTCCTGCGGCAGATGCTGGGTTGGTGGGAAAGGAAGCCACGCTGACGAACAGTGCCTGCCATGGGCGCAGGAATGGAAAGTGGGCAGAGATGCTGATGCTGAGACCACTCCCCAAACATCCTGCAACTAAAGGCAATTTAGTTGCCTTTATAGATGGGAGACCGGAGATTGTGTCCTATGTCTAAGATCCCACAGCCAACTGACATCATGTCTACGGTTGCTTCCAGGCCCTCAGTGGCCTCCTGAAATTCCTGGGGGTTCCCCTGCCTCTCCTTCTTCCAGAAACAAGCCATGACCAAGTCTTCCCCACCCACCAGGCCTGTAATCACCTGCTTCACAGTCTCCTCTGTGATTTGCATGCTCCTTTGTCCCCTAGTCCAAAGAAAACAGTAGCAGTGTATAACTGCTGCCAGCGGCCTCACACACCCCACTTAACACACCCTCAAAATCCCCTCCTCCCTGGGACAGTTCTGAATTTGCCTACACACATTCCAGAACTGTGACTTGGTCACACCCACTCCCAGGCCCCCGGCAAGAGTCTCCTGGGAACCCCTCCTCTGCCCCGACAAGCCCTTGCTCTCCCGCTAGGGGGTGCTCTCTGGGGTTCACCGCCCAAGATAACTCAGCTCCCAGAGAGGAGAAAGAAAAGAGGACTGGCTGGCTGTGGTGCCTCCTGATGCCACACGCAGAAAAGTGAGCTGTCAGACCTGGCAGTTTGAGGATTCTCCAGCGCCCCTCCCTGCAACCACACAGCACACAGGTAACGTTCACTGGGTGCCTCTCTCCATGGCGCACATGGGGGCACAGGAAAGACTGGCCTTCAGCTATGGCAAGTCCTGATCACCCTGACTTGCCATCCAGGGTGTTGTGATTCCGGGTTGGAACGACTTCATGAGTGGTCCCAGCTGGAGCCTTTCACACCCATCCACACCAGGGCACACCCTCCTCTTCTGGCTGCCTTCTGGGTGCCTGTCACCCCACCCTGGCCTGATGTCCCCTTCTACCCCACCTTCTCATTGCTTTTTCTCCCTCCCAGAGTCATAGCCTCCAAGCCTGTCCATCCCTTGGTAACATGGGCTCTAAGGAAGGCACCCTAGGAAGGCAGACTCCAGCCCCACGGAGCTGGGCTTGGGGCCCTGGCCAGGAAGCTAGAAGGCACGTATCCCCTCTGTCCGTTCACTTCTACGAGGCTCCATTCCGGGTTTCCTTTCTTGTCCTGGGCCTCCAGGACAGTCACAGACTGGCCTGCCTGCAGACTCACTTCATGGCTGCTTCTGGCCACAAAGGGGTACACCGCCACCATCTGAAACACATGGGGAGCGACACAGAATTGATCAGGGTGGGAAGACAGACAGATGCAATCCAGAGAAGCTGTTTAACTTCATCCCTCCCAGCAACTCGGCCCCTCTTGCCGGGCAGTCATCACCAGCTAAACATAGCCTCTGTGCTAAAGACGATGGCTCCTTCTGCTCCCTCCACCCCTCACATCTACAATGCGATAGGCTCTGTTCTAGCACTTTGTCTGGCTTTGACCTTCACAATTCTAAAACTATTTGTCCCATTTTTTAGGTAAGGAAATTGAGACTGAGAGAAGTCAAGGAACTTATTCAAAATCACACAGGTAGTTTCCAATGTGCTCACAAGGTTGTGCAACCATCACTAGTTAGCAGTTACTTCCCATTGCCCCTGCCCCCAGCCCCTGCCAACCGCTGATCTATTTTCCGTGTCTATGCATTTGCCTCTTCCGGACATTTCGTATCAATAGAGTCAGACAAAATGCGGCCTTCTGTGTCTAACTTCACGTGGTAGTAGGTATCGGCACTTCCTTTCTCCAGGTCCCACCCCCGGCCAGGACACTGATGTGGCCATTGATCAAGGCCCTGGCCTCACAGGATGGTAGCCCCCCCAGGTAGGAGGAAAATCAGAGCCCCACTCCAGGTGGCCATTGGAAGGCAAGCCCCTACTCCTCTCCCAGACTCACCTGGGTCCCGGTTGGGACAGAGGGGACTGGGACTGGGGTGGGTTCTGGAGATAGATGTCGGAAGCTCTCATGAGGTCCGGCCTGCCCTCTGAGCTTCTCCTCACCGGGGACGACGCGGTACTGCTCCAGTCTCCCAGCAGGCACATATCCTCGATGTCCTACAGGACATGCAGAATGTTATCTGGCTGTGGGCCACCTTTTCCACCCCTTTAATGACAGAGGAAGTCACCATCATTCATAGATGTCAATGCCTCCAACACAGCTTCTTAGCAGTAAAGAGGGCTTGAAAAGCTCACCTAGGAAGCTCACAAACCCACCCCGCACCCTGCACTCACAGTCTCTAGCTTCCGCTTGCACACCTCCAGAGACAGGGAGCTCACTCCCTCTTGAGGCAGCCCACTCTGCTTCGAACAGCTCTGACAGAGGGAAAAAGCGTTTCCTCAGACTGGGATAAAGACTGCTTTCCCAGTGCTGGTGCCGCTGGCCCCCTTCCCTCTGGTGGCATCCCTGAGCAAGGCTGCTGTCCCAGGAGGCAGAAATTGCCTTTCTCTTCCTCAAGTGCTCCCAGTTTCTTCCTCATGTAACAACTCCTCCAGTGCTGCTCTGGTTGCTGTCATTATGAATGGCCACCACTGCCCAAGAGCACCCTAGGCACAAGGACTGGCGCTGATTACCTAGACTTCACAGCGCTCCGGTCGGTGCCGTCTCCATTTTCCTGCCGAGCCAACCAAGCTCCGAGCTCTGAGAGGCTCTGTGACCTCTCCAAGGTCGTAGAGCTAGTAAAGTGGCATTGCTGGGAGCCACGCCCAGTCCTCTCGACCCCAGGAGCCTTGTTTTAACCCCCGTTCAGCTGTTTTTCAACATGAATCATGATTTCTGCTGAATTTGTGCTGTTTCCTTAATTTTTTAACAGGCTCACTTCTTTAAAATTCTTCTTGCACTATACAATACGAATAAAATCATGGTTTTATGTACTAATTTTGATTTTTTCCAATACACATTAAGGTCCTTAAGTAACAATTATAATAATAAACTGTCTGAAGTGGGAAAACTGTAGCTACGTCACCTCCCAACAACCCTGTGTAACCCTCATCCTGCGTGTCACATGTCCTCTGCTGGGCCATCTCCTCCGGGTTCACGCTGCCACTTGCCTCTGGTTGCACTGGGGCACCCAAACCTGAGCGGCACACCGCAAGGGTGTGACCAGTGCAGAGGGGACAGGATAACACCTCTCTCAATCTGGACGTGAGACGTCTGTTCATGTAGCTGAGAGCTAAGCATCCCCTCTCTGCGTATCTCCAGCTTCCAGGGTGATGCCGAAGTTGCTGAAGTCTTTCCACCCCAGTGGTTTGTGGGGTCCCCCAGACAGGGTCCTTGTCTTCCTTGCATAGCACCCAGCACACAGTAGGTGCTTGACAATGAATGTTACAGTGAAAGACTCAAACTCCTCTTTTTGGCATTTCACGCACTGCATTAGGCCACCTGTGCCCCAAGCCCTGCATTTTGACCTGTGCTCATTCCCTGTCTGGATGTTCACAGCCAGACTCTGGCCCACACTGCCCATGTCTCCCCACTGGCTCCTGCTGGGTGGTTTTCTCAGAGGGAAGAGGAGGGTGACAAAGTCCCACGTACCCCCAGTGTCCACCAGCCAGCGGCTGCTGTTGCCTTTGGTGTCCTTGTTTTGAAGGAGAGCCACGACTTGGCCCTGCAGCAGTGTCAGGTCCAGGGTCCCAGACCCGCGGATGTTGCTTGTCACCTGGTACAGCTTTTCTGGGCCATACCTGCTCAGGAGAGCCTGCACCTGGCGTTCAGCTCCTGGAAGGAGTGGCTGGGGAGAGGCGGGACAGAGACAGACAGGTGCTCAAGTTAGCACGTCAAAGCTGGGCCAACGCTTGCCCTCATGGTGAGAGCCAGCAGTCCTGGGCAGATGCCGGCCCTACCCCTGCCACCCCGATGGGGGCAACAATCCCCTAATGGACAGCTGGATTGGATGAGGAAGACATAGTCTTCGTATCCAAAGGCATCTCAGAAGAAACTTCTAATTTAACCCCTAAAATCTCTCCCAGGTCTACACTGAAAGGGTTTCCTACAATTCTAATTCAGGTTCTGAAATTGCTCAGCTACAGAACTCCAGAACTGGGCCCGGGATTCTGCCCCTAGCACCAAGCTAAGTTATTCCTCAGGAAAATGCCTTGCACAGGTCTTTCAATACCATTAGGTGTTAGATTGTGAGCTTCATGCAGACACCAGGCCTTACTCTACCTGGGCAGGCACAGGTAGACCCTCCCACATGTATGAATGACGGGAATGCCATCTTTTACTCCATGAGTTTTCAGTCCACAAGTATTTACGGAGCACCTACTGTTTAAAGGCTCGGTAACCCTTGTGAATGGTGTAGCAGAAACACAGGTGAGATCTTTGCCCTCATGGAAACTGCCATCTAGCTGGGGAGAATGAGTCTCCCAGAGGCACTTTTAAACTCATCCAAAAATCTTTTGACAGGTCCTGTGTTTTATCGTTCACTGTTTCCAGCAAAAGTATCAACAAGAAGGGACTCAGGGGTGACAGTTCCCTTTTTGTAAAACAAAGAAAAATAAAAATGATAAACAAAGAAAAAACTAAAAATGTTGAATAGAGATTTACTACACATTATCTCTCTCTCTCTCTCTCTCTCTCTCTCTCTCTCTCCCCACATATATATTCACCATGTTCTACACGGTTAGTTATTTCTAGGTGGGGAGGTGCGGGGTTTAGGGACGTAGACAGAGGTGCCTTTCGGGGACTTTTGGACACAGACTCTGCCATTATTCGTACTCCAATGGGTTCACTGAGTCAGGATCAGGAACCAGCAGAACCTGATGTTTCAAAACAGGCCTCTAAATGGAAGTGTAGAGACGGGGCAGCTTTTTATTTCAAACGGGTGGTGTTAGCATGAGCATAAAAGCCAGCGGTACAGCAAGCATCTGCCTTCTTTCCTGAGTCTGGCAGCTCCTACCTGTGCAGAGAACAGCAGTGCTCCCTGGAGGGACTGGGGTGGAGTGGAGGGAGGCAGTTAAAGATATTGTCACTAGGACTGTCCTGTGGGCCACCTCACTTCTGTGGGTTCTGTGCCTTAGCCAAGTAAGTCAGGAATTTATAGGAAGGGTGTGTGCGTGTGTGTGTGTGCGTGTGCATGTGTGTGTGTGCATGTGCGTGTGTCCTGTCAGGGGTGGATGGCAGAGGTGGGATCTATTCTCTTCCTACCAATTTGCATATGGTGCACACTGGGATTCTTATGTTCCTATTTGTTTCTTCTTTTTGTTTTTCCGAGTCTTCTCTTTTTTCTAGTAGCGGCATAGATTGCTTTTCCAATAAGATAACCGTTATTTTAAGTAGAATGAGAGAGAAGTTTCCCCAACTCACTCGAGTGGCTGATCCGTTCTTCATTTTCTGCACCCTTCCTCTGTCCAAGTTGAAGGGCCCATGTCACACCCCCGTTGAGAACTCGGCTGGGGCAGCCTCAGTGTGGGGGAGGAAGTGGGGACAGCTGAGGCCCCAGGAGCAGACACGCATCTCTGATGGTCTTTGACATTCTCTGCACTCTGGCCAGGTATGAAGGCTGCCTGTATCTGCCCAGCTCTTCGGGGCTCCTTGTCTCTCTGTGTCTCTGGGCCCCCTTCTCTGCTGGGGAAGCTTGGGGTGGTCTCCTGACCCTTCACCTCACATCTCTCATGTGACTGAACACACAGTTTCAGTTTTCTCAGACTCAGGTTTGTCATACTCTGGGAGGCCCTCCTCCCTTCATCTACTTTAGTTACTCGTAAAACATGCACTACCTGGGTATATTCTTCAAGTGGACCGGAAGATACACTTTCTTTATATTTTAGAGAAAACTGCTTTACTACAAAAAGGATTTGGCCAGCCAAAGTTTTGGAAACTATAATGCAGCCGAAATACTGTCTTTTGCAGTTAAAAATTCCATAGCATCTACAGCCATGCCACCCTGAACACGCCGATCTTGTCTGATCTTGGAAGCTAAGCAGGGTTGGGCCTGGTTAGTACTTGGATGGGAGACCACCTAGGAAGACCAGGTGCTGTAGGCGCTAACAGATAGATA